GAGCTAAGAAAACATTGTCGAAAGATGCAGCGAATCATTCTGGGGTGGAGGTCTGGAATAGGGTGGAGGAGGACTAGGGGCTATAAAGACTGCCGCGGAACATGCCAAGGTTTCCATGGTATGATCAGGATCTCCAAGAGCTCCAGGGCTGCAGGAGTCGGGGTTGACTGGGGTCAGGTTTAGCATGTTTTGTTCTGACTTGAGTTGGGGTGAAAAATTCCGGTCAAAGATCTACTGTTGTCGGTTCTGGCTCAAAGCATGACAGAGTCACGGGTAGGCGAAAAGGTATCGCTCAGGCTGCTTCCTTGAACCACGTCAAAGACTGCACGCCCACGTAGCCGGGAGTGAGGTTTAAGGCGTGCGCTAGGGTTTCGTCCCATTACGGAACCCATTCGTCCAAAATATCATATGCGCTTGCTCCGAGTAGTGAGTAGTTCCAGTTGAATACATAGCATTTTGTTTGCATCACGTCTACCGCGGTTCGACAACCCTGCAGCTTCGGAACTTACGGAGCTGGACTATGCACTATATTTTTCTGTGAGAGACGGTTCGTTTGTTTCGTCCATCTACGCAGCCACGAATAAAAGTTATGTCCATCGAAAAAAAACGTTAGTCGTGTTCATCGAAAAAGTGGAAGGGGCGTGTGCGTGTACTTGTGGGTCAGATATTGAAATTGATGGAGGCTTTTAAGGATGGGCGCACTCTGAACATCAAGTATGCGTGGCCGCTGGTCAAGAAAGCCAAGGACATTTTCGCCAAGGAGGCAACCATCCAGGCGAGTCTTGTTTTAGGGTCTGCATTTGCTGGAGCAGCAGTGAGCGAAGCGGCAATGTCGTTGCTGTTGTCGCTGTTGTTGTTGGTGGTGGTGTTGTTGTTGTTGTTGTTGTTGTTGTTGTTGTTGTTGTTGTTGTTGTTGTTGTTGTTGTTGTTGTTGTTGTTGTTGTTGTTGTTGTTATTGTTGTTGTTATATCTGTTGTTGTGGTATTGCACTACTCTAACGATCCTTCAGCTGGGGGTTCAACCGCCTAGGTGACCTAGGCTTCGATTGGCGTGCCGCTTGCCTTGAACGTGGATGGCCATCGTCCTCCCTCTGGGGCATTTCTTCGGACCGCATCTGCTTTCGTCAGCGACAAGGTTCCCGAAACCAGTCGATATCTTCAAGAAACTCGGACTTGACGACATGTCCCCGATGCCAACTTGGCAACAGCTGCGGTCACTCAGTTTCTTAGTACATTGGGCCAGACAAGTCTGCTCAAGCAGGCGGGGTATCCAAGGGCAGCAGAGCCCACAAGGGTTACGATTCTGGCAAATATTGCGCGCATTTCCCTATATATGCCCATCTCAAGTCTCCACAACAGCATGTAGCCTTGCTTCTCACTCGCCTATCTTTGCATCGAAACCTTGAGTTGGCCGGTTGTCTGAAGAGTGAAAATAGTGGGAGCATCGCCGCTTGGGTGTTCAGGCTCGAACCGCCCCGACTATGAACTAAGGAAAAGTGCATTCGGGAGGGGTGCCTACAGATTTCGCAACTTACTCTTTCACAGGAAGAGGACAATTACAGAAACAAAATAAGGTCGAGAGGTTCATGTCGCGGATGCGCATCCGCAGGCGGGTGCTGAACGACCCTTTTCTCTCGACCTTCACGTGCTCCATCAGGACACAAGGAGGCGTTCTTGCCTGGAAAACGAACACATACAGATGGTTTCCTACCTACACACCAACAACGCAGAAATTTACCCCCAACGGGGTGGGCTCGTTTCGATGCAGGAGTGCGGGGTCGCGGTAGACGGCAAGATGACGGTCGTGGGCGACATCCACGGGCAGCTGCAGGATCTCTTCTCCATCTTCACCATCAACGGAATACCCTGCCCCCAGAACCATTACATATTCAACGGAGACTTCGTGGACCGGGGGCCCTGTGGATCGGAGGTGCTCTTCACTCTCTGCGCGTTCAAGGTACGTTGTCTGTCCCCGTGATCGTTGTTGCTAGTGTTGTAGGTGTTGGTGTTGGTATTGGTGTTGGTGATGATGATAGCTTGCTTGGGGATGGTGCATGATCGCAAGCGCCCCACCTCCATCCCCTCCTTCAACGACGCTCGTTCTCTTGGTGTGGTGTCCCCGAGAAGGTGATGCAGCCTGACTGCATTCGGCTGAACCGCGGGAACCACGAGTCGAGGCAACAGAACAAGATCATGGGCTTCGAGGAAGAGGTACACAAGACTTACGCATATGCATACCAGTGTCAATACTTTTTGAAATACATGTAAGACTGGTTATGCTTGTTTTTGTGCAACCTTTCACAATTCAGAAATCGGTTGTTTGTCAACACGTGGGTGCGTGCCTTTTGTGCGAAGTGTGATGCCCGGGGGAGAGTGCCTTGGCGATGTCCTTGAAGCTAAACGACGATAAAAAGTCCGACTTTCGAAAAGTACCCTCGCCGACTACGCATGGGGCGCATTATTTGGCTGACCAAGGTCCTTGAAATATTGGATGTAGCAACCGGGGGTGGCACTGAACGTATCCATGTACCGGCAGCACTGAACGCATAAATGTACGTCACTGATCGTATTGACGTACGTTGGGGCTAGCATACCTTTCACCAAGAGCATGATCAGACCATTTCGCAGATCTCTTGGTCTGAATGTGCTTTGTGCTTCGCCCCTAGACGTCCGATTTCCAAACCAGGTTATCCCGTCTGTCGTGCCTCTTGCCCCCTCCCTTGCCTGCCTTGCTGTGACAAACCTGTGTGTTTGCAGATTTTCGAGAAGTACGCGGGTCCAAACGGTAGGCTGCTACTCAGGGCGTGCCACCAGCTCTTCGACGCGCTGCCCCTCTGCGCTCTTATACAGGTACAACAACGCTACGGGACAACCACCAAGTCTTGTAAGAGGGAAGGCATGCATAGCGCGCAGTGTGGCAACATGTGGCAATGCTACTCTCTTGTGACCACAGTTCCGAACGATTGGATATTCGAACGAAACTGGTGCCAAGGGGTTAGCTTCGCACGTGGACACAGTCCAACGTGTTTGCTCACGCCCATCAAGTATTCGTTTAGCTATGCACGGGAGAGATTCGCTGTCCATGGAACGCTAGCAATGCCAGGGTCTACCTGATTACAATTCCTGCTGCTCAGCAATCCAAGCACCCTCAACCCGTCGATTACCTTCGGGCCAAACCCGCTCGCTATGCATCCTACCGATCGACGTGTTTCTACGATGCGCAGGAGAGAATATTCGTGGTCCACGGGGGGCTCTTCCCGCACGACGGCGTAACCTTGAACCACATCAAAGGCATGAGCCGGAAGAGGGAGCCGCCTATTCACGGGAACTCCTTCGAGGACCAGGCGCGTGGCGCGAACCAGTAGCGAACCAGTCCTAGCGGTAGGGGTGGTGCAGCCCGGTACACGTTTCTATAACCACCTGTGCGAGAACCCACGGCCGGACCTCTTTCCGTGATGGTGCCAGATTGATGCTGCCGGTCAAGTTGTTGAATAAACTCGACGAGGAGTAGGCTGGCTTACAAAGAGCGCGTACCGTCCCGGGTGTCTGGTTCGATAGCGCTAAATTCCGGTGAATTCGTGAGGTCTGCACAGGTTTTGATGCCATGTCTTTCATTCCTGCCTCTTAAGGTCATCCATTGAGGAGGTGAGTGTGGTGGGCCAATATGCGTTCTCGGTCGTGCGACAGATGGTGCCGCGGTGACGACAAGCTACTGCAAGGCAGATTACGTGGCACCCTCCGTGGTCCTGCCGACTACAACAACACTATACTCTTTCGAAAGGGTTTTTCAAGATCTTTTCCACTCACGCCAGCGAGAAGAAAAAAACCTTGTCCTTTCACTGTTTGATACGAACGTCCTGAGACCAAACACACAGGCGTCAACTTCCGTATCCCAAACGGAAATACTTCAGCGTACAAGGAACCGTGCGAGGCCAACCCCATATTATCAAAGCCAACCGGCAAACCCTACCCTGTACCTCAGCTCAGCCCTACCCGAAGCTTGACCGTTCTGTGCACACGACCTGATCCAAATCCCAACTCAACCCAACCGCAACCCCGATGCAACCACAATCCTAACCCCACCACCCCATCCGCCCCGAACCACCAACAGATATTCGAGGCGATGCTCTGGTCGGACCCGCGACCTATCCAGGGCCGCCAGATGTCGGCCAGAGGAGCCGGGGTCGAGTTCGGGCAGGACATCACGCACGAGTTCCTCAGGACGAACCACGCGGCCCTCATCATCCGCAGCCACGAGTGCGTGAGGGAGGGCTTTGAGCTCCTCCACAGCGGCCGCCTGATCACGCTCTTCTCGGCGAGGTGCGAGGGGGGAGTGGGGTGAATATGGCATGCGCGCGAGGGCTAGGGCTTGGGGGAGATACCCGATGTCTGGAAACATCGTGCGCGTCTCCAGACGCGGAGGCGGGGGGAATCGTATCGACCTAGCTGAAGCGCGAATGATCCACAGCGACCGGTTGGTAGAGTCGTTGGTGATACATACACATCCCCGGCAGGTTGCCCTTCGACGCCCTCCGTTAAGAACGTTCGCCATTTGAAGTGGCTCTTACTGCGAGATTCGAGCCGTCTGACCGGAAGCTCCCGAAGCACATCCTACGAGAAGGATGAAGATGTGTTGCTCAAGTTCAAAACGTAGTCGATGTGGGGGAAGCACAACAAACAGCGACGACGCAACTGCTGTGGTATGTGATGAGCGTTTCATCATGCCTACCAACTAGTCCATATTTCATTTCTTCTCTCTCTCTGAACTCTCACTCTACTCCCCCCCCCTCTCTCTTCTTCGTCTTCTCCTTGTTCTTCTTCGCTCCCCCCTTCCGCTCTCTCGTCCATCCGCCGTCTCCGAAATGTTATTCCTACCACCAGCCGATACTGCGGCATGCAGACCAACAAGGGAGCGTTTCTCACGATCGGGCCGGAGCTTCAGCCGGAAATACAGCAGTTCTACGCGCACAGGTATGTCATCGGCACACCGATCGGATCTACCCGGTACTAATTGGCTGACGCTACGCGTGGGCCATAGAGAGCGGCGCCCCTGTTTTCTCACCTATTCCAAGCTGCCTCACACAGCCGCCACCTCCTTGTCTCATAGGTTAACATCTATTCTCACCGCTACTTGTGTGCACCATTTGAATGGTCCTTTGGGGCGGATAGGCCGAGGTGAGCCGTAACCATCACTGAATCCAATGTGCTGTGTCGAGCAGTGTGTCGGAGACCTGCTTCGACCAGGACACGATGCAGCGAGAGACGGAAGAACGGCTGGAAACGGAGGCGGTAAATATGATCATCGAGAGGCTGCTCGATCTCAAGCCCAGTCTCTACTGGCACTACACCCGCGAGGTCCGTTGCCGGCGTCGCCGTCGTCATCGTCGTAGGTGTTCCTGTTGTTGTTCCTGTTGTTGTCGTTGTTGTTGTTGTTTTTGTTCGTGTGTGCTTGTTGCTCAAATCTAAACGTCCGCAAATGTGGCAGTGGGTCGTCGGACCACAAGCGTGGTGAACGAAACGCGCAAGTGAAACACCACTAATTCGACGGTGGGGGTGGAATGACGCAGTGTTTCGTGATGGTCGAAAAAATTGCCCCGTGGCCCGCCTTGTTCGACGGATATGCTTGCTGAAACACGGCGATGGGATTGATTGGAAATCCAACCGAAGTTGGTGCTACACCCCGGAGGCATGTTGGAGTGGGCTGAATAATCTCGCTCGACCTAGCCGCCTCGGAAGTATTGCTGCAACTCCCTGTGCTTAGCACATGTTGCACTTTCCTGATCCACGTCCTAGAGGGTGTGAATTCGCCTCAAGCCGCCCTTGTGAGGAGTCAAACTTCGAGCATGCGTTGCTGTCCTAGCGGAAAAACTTCGAACATGTCCTAGCGGTGGGAATATGCGAGGGGCGCGGCTTACTCATCTTGCACCTCAACATGTGTTGTTGCTGCTGTTGTCGTTTCAGCTGAGGTTTTTCGGAGCCTTGGCTTGAAGGGCCTCAAATCATCCCGCTTAAACCCCATTCCGGCGGGCTGTCCCTCCGACATTGATCACTTCGCTCATGCGTCTGCCCCTGTTACAATTGTGTGTCTTCTCGTGTGTTAGGACCGAACGAAGAGCGGCCGGGTGAGCAAGGTGCAGTGGGCGAACGGCCTCAACCTAGTGCTGCAGCTAGATGTACCGTTCCTCAGCTACGTGGTGAGTGACGCAAGAGCGAATCAAATCAAACTCGACGCAGTGGTTGAAACAGCTGCTATATATGTGCGGTTGCAAATCTCCGTTGCTTCTTGAAGAAACATGAAGCAGGTCAGCGTGGAGTATGCTCTGTTCGTCTCGGGCTGATTTTGTCACTGCTGCAACTTGTTCTTGTGGCTCATCCACCCTCTTGCTGCGAGTGTGTTTGTGCTTTGTGAGCCGCTCCTTTTCACCTCGGCCGTAAAAAGTGCTCACGAGTTCTCCCCATTGATGCCCGCTCATATTTTGCAGGATCGGTTGGCGGAAGTGGAGGAGGACGGTTCGATCAACTACACGAAGTTTCTCGAGAGGTATCGCGTCCAGGTGAAAAGGATGACAACGCCGAATGACATCGGTACCCGATCGAATACAATCAAGTTGCAACAGATGTCACATTACATCGGCACCCGAAGAGGAGTAATCAAGTTGCAACACATACCAACCAACCCCCGAAGGAGCACAATCAAGTTGCAAGCAACAGTTACGTGGAAACAAGGATACAAACAAGTGTGAAGGTACTGACGCACATGCGATGAGCAAAGATCGTCGGACTAATGAACATTGTTCTACCGCCCGAAGACATTCGCCATGAAAGATACACAGAATCCCGTGACTATTCATGTGAACCTCGGTGATGGGGAAATGCCCACGAAGACGCCCCGTCTCTCACTTCCACCTTTCTTGAACTATCGGCTACGCTTGGGACTTCCTCGCCACATGTCAAGAATAGACTATGTAACTCCTCCCGCGGATGAACGCTTGGAAGAACGATGGCATGGCCTTGTCATTTGCAACATCGAAGTGTCTCAAAGTGTGATTTGCAGAGCCAAACCGGTTAGCTGCGATAGGTTTTTCTCCCTCCCCCTGTCCCACGGCAATTCCTATGCCGAAATCAACCAAACAAGTAACCGTAGAACACCAATGTCGTCGAAAAGACACCAACCCTCCCTCGCGCATTCCCTTGAGGTTGTTTGGCCACCCCGATGACCTGCGGGTAGGTGAGTGGACTCAACGCCGAACAGTGGCAGGACGCCATCGTGGACCAGATCTGCGAGCGCATCTTCGTGGCTATGGGGGCGGGCGACGTGCAGTCGGCGTTCGACTACTTCGACGTCGATGGGGACGGCAACATCGAGTACGAGGAGTTCGTCAACGCTCTCAAGGCGCTCGAGATCGGGCTCAGTGATGACCAGGTGCCGGGGTCTTTGTAAGCAACGCACCAGTTCAGCGTAACCAGCTCGCAGCACGATTCCTAAGCCACCACTCGACCCGGGGGGGGGCTCAAGGGCCTTTCACGCAACCTTTTTTTCTGTAGCCCATCCACACATGTATAATACTCGTGTGCATGCTCTGCTGCCTTGCAGGTGTTCGAACTGATGCGAGGGTTGGACAAAGACTGTGATAGCACCATCGACTTGGAGGAGTTTGCCTCGAGATTTTCGCCGGTTTTCACGCGCCTCAACATAAAGCACGACGTGAGTGCGCGCCATTCGTATCTGCAAGCACCTACCAGTAGTTGGTAGGGATCCAAACGTCGTACGGGCGAACATAATCGACCTGCACACTGCAACCTAGACAACGAACGCTTTATTCAACACTCCTGAGGGTCCAGTTATTAAGCCGTGTCCACATTGCAACTGTTTTGTCCTGTGGAAAATACGTTCCCAACTGGTACGGGTCTCCTACATGTATGTAGAGCGAATGAAAACTGTACGTGGTGTGCATCACCTACAACTTAGGTCACGATCGCGGACACCGGAGTTGTACACGAAAGCAACAATGTCTCAACCGACCGTATCACCTACAAATTGTGGTATCAACGCAACTTACGACCCTATCCATGCCATCACCTATCGATTTCATTCGATGCGGTTGGGTCGACCTCACTTCGTCGATACCCCAGGAGGAGATCACGAAGGCCATCGCGGGCAGGAGGTGCAGCCTTGTTCTGACACCTACACAAGAGAACCAAATGGTGGAGCTCATCACCAAGCTGCTAAAGTAAGCCCGGCAAGCCGAGAGGATCACCTTCTTTTTGGTAGGGGCTGACTACCACCACCCTCTAAAGGTTCAGGAACAAGTGCAATACGCCGGAGTATAATCTGTGTTGTAGTACAAGCGCCACCACTCAGGATGCTGGGAGCTACATAAACAAGATATTAAGGCTCGAAAAGTGATGAGGTCGAGAACTCGACCGTAAGAACAAGTGCTCAGTTAAGAACCCCACACTAATACCAATATTGTCGATTTAGGACACCCCACAGCCAAGACACGATACAAATCTCGGGCAAAATAAGCGGTTATTGAGTGGTCGCGTGTAGTGTACAATGTACACACATACACACGTGCTATCCCGCTTGGTGTGGGTTCTACGGCGGAGATGAAATACCAAGAGCTGCCCCCCATCCTCTTGACAAACCCACGCTGCATGTGACACCTACCTCTGTGTTCGCCCGGCCGGTTGTCGTCTTTCGATCATCGACATTTACAAAACGCAGGCGATACATGACGATGGAAAAGGCTTACGGGGAGCTGGACAAAGATGACGTAGGGTTCCTGACTTACGACGAGCTAGCAGACAAGCTCATTGCCTTGGGCACGACCTTGGCAAAGGCGGACCTAGTTTCGCTCGCTGCGGATATTGACACCGACAACGACAAAAAGATCAGCAAGGTGCGCTCGCTATCCAGTGCTCTTATTGTGGCAGCACATCATCTAGAAGCCCACAGCGAGAACAGTAGAGTCATTCTCGGAACCATATGCTTCGCTTAGGAGCGACCTCGGTGAAGCTTTCATTGGCGTTTTTTGTTTGGCATAACTGTTTTTGTTTGCTGCCGAAATCACCTCCATCCAAGGCTACAACATCCGTAGTGCCTGTCGACGACGATTCCCTCTTGTCACGCACGTTGTGTTGTTCTTTATTTTTCTTTCAACCACCACCTGTCTGTGGACGACATAGTATTTCGCTCCTCCTCTGATAATCGTATCTATGAAAGGCCGAATTCAAGCGGGCTTTCCGGGTGACGGACAGGAGGGGTAGCGTAGGGCGGCAGAGCATCCAGATCGCAAATCCGGACGAGCTCGCAAAGCAGCTCAAGGCACAAGAAGATGAGCGTGAAAGGCAAGTACCCCCGTAAAGTCGAACTCATAACACGCTTTTCTGCCTATTGCGCCCCACCTACTACTATCGCTTCAATTTGTATTGTCGTGAGGGCGATACAACTCGGTGACTCGTGGAGGGGGAAAACTCGGGAAAATACGTCAGGAGGTTCGTTTGTTTTCGGGACTCTCTTAGTGTACTGAGTGAAGGTGAACTTCTTCGCAAAGCGCTTCTGCTCTTATCACTTTCTAGCTTTCCCCCCGTTGAGACACTCGTGCCTCTGCAAGTAGAAGCCCCGTCCCTTCTTCACTTGTTGTCTGCCACCGTTTTTGTACAGGGTACAATCAGGATCGAGCGCTTCGAGCGCAGGGGAGCGGAGGGGTCGACTAATGCAGGACGTCGGCTGGCAGGAAGGCGTCATCCAATCCGTCGCTAACTTCATGTTCCAAAACCGGCGGCAGGCACGATCAAGCTCTGACCTTGCCTGCAGTGCCTCTGCTTGAAACGGCTTCTCCAGCCAAACCGCGCTAAACGTCGTGGTAGAAAGCTAAATCTCATCTGCTGATCACTCGACAATATTTCGCGTACACAGTGGTGGCTACGGTTTAAGAGAGGGTTGGAACAAGCCAGTATTTCCTCTTAAATCTCTTAAACCGTACTGTGAATGTATGTAGACTCTATTTCTCATGGTCGTGACAAGATAGTATGACTCTCTTAAATCGGTTCTTTCTCGTAAATAGTCTCTTTTAAACCGTAGCCGCCACTCTACGTGAATATGCAGCTCTCCTTCGCTATTTTTGGTCTGATAAGCGCGTGTGTCCTCCCCCCTTTGTTGTTATCTTCTCCCTCCCAGTTGGCCGGGGCATACAGATCATTCGATCTCGACGGGGATGGCTCTGTCGACAGAGAGGAATTCCGCTTCGGGATGCGCAAAATGAACCAGGTAGGCGGGAGGTAGAGAAAGTAAACAAGGGTAGACATGGGATAGGGTACGGGATAGGTTCATTGCATTGATCTTGAAAATATTGTGTTGGCGGAGCTTATCGAAAGAACAGTATGCATCCGTGTGAGCGCGTATGCATTCGCCTCATTCCTGCCAGCAGTTGATTTACTACGGTTTTTGCGGACTGGGGTAGGAAGAAGGCGGAACAGCAAGGTTGAGCCTTAATTGACCCGACGCCATCAGGACACACCGCTCCTCACAGTACCAATTTCAGTGGGAAAATTGCGGACTCTAACGTCCGAGTCATGTGTGTGTGTGTGTGTTATTTTTCCGAAACCTACTGCAGGTGTTTTCGAGCCCGCTAACTGACGATCAGATTGACGCCATCATGGACGCGCTCGACACGGACGGGGATGGCACCTTGTCCTACAACGAGTTTCTGGCAGGCTTTACCGTGGTGGACACCACCAAGTCGACGCCTTCGTCGTCTGCACCCTCGTCGCCACCAAAGACGCCCTGAAACCATGCTGTTGTTGCCATGTTATGACGGTCTAATAACATGTTACCCGGATTGTTGATTATGTGGGTAACATGTTGACGGGGTGACGCCCCACCGCCCGTGTTCGGCTCCTCTCGGACGCGGTAGTTTGGTTGGTCCATTATCAGCGACCAAATCTGCGTGGGGTTGGTCCCGGGCGCGGCGATCAGCACGTCACTGCCACGAAAAGACCGCGCGCGTTCTTAGAATGACTACTGTAATGTACCCTAACTCCTCGGCACACGATACTTGCAGCAGAATCCTCGCCAACCGTGGTAGTCCTTTGTGAAGAAATTTAGAATAAAAAAGGTGGCACGGGGAGGGGGATATTGAAGGTCCGCGCGTGCGCCCTCGGCCTGGGTCAATCAATTTATCTAAGTAGGATATTTCTTTCATTTTGCAGGGAGAAGTGGAAAGAGAGTCTCGGCTGAGGGGTTGGCAGCAAACTGATCACCTATGTAGGTAACTGAGGGGTATCTTTGTCATGGTAGACGTACCGGACGATGGCAAGTACTCTTGTGCCTTCCACAAGAAGGGTGAAATGTGATTGCGTAGATGCACGCCCCTTCCTGCTCCATCGCTGAAGCTTCTCGATCGAGGTTTAGATCGCGCAGCGAATGGTTCGCCCCAAGTGTGAACCATGCACCTCGAGGAAGGACGTCAATGGACGAAAAAGAAAAAGAAAAAGTTGAGTGCGCGAAGGTCCCGTGGGACCGGTAGCTCGTGCACGGAAGTCTCGGGGGTATTTCTGTGGAACAGCCACAATAAAACAAGCGCGAAAAAACAGTCGAGCGTACTTGTAGGGTCAGAAGTCGATTTGTATATATATATCGGTACGAAAGTATCGTCATGGAAGAAGATGCAGCAGCTGTCCGTGTGGAACTTGGAACCGAGTGTGTGTGATACTGTGCGACAAATAGAGAGAGCGGTACATGTATCGCGGGAAGACGGCGATTGCTTGTGTTGAACCTTTAACACCGCCGAGCTATGAGGGGTTGAGTCACGGTTGTGGCGTACTGGGGATCTGTTTTGCGTTGAACGCAAAGGTCAAAACTGACGCAGCCCTTTCAAGCCCGTCGCGTGGGAGTTTGCTGGTTCTTCGTCCACCCAAATCGACCGTGAACCGTTGGAAACGCCCAGATTTTTGTGTAGCATTTTCCATTCTGTCCTCTGTTGTTCGGGAAAACCATCACGGTGTGAGGGAGATGCATGTCCCCCATAAATTCTACCCACGCCTCTTGGGACACCGATTTGCCGCGACCTCATGAAGATGGTGAAGACGATAATAACGGAACGTCGTCGAGAAGCGCCTCATCACCAGCCGCTGTTGCGTGGATGACACTAGCTTCATGCCGGGGTTGCTCTAAAAATAGCCAAGAGAGACGATCAAAATACCACGAAGTTGCATTTGCACAGTAGGAGCGTAGAAAAAAAGTGTGCAACAGAACACCCTGTTCTCGTAGGTTGCCTCTTACCACATGAACGGATGGTTATTTCCATCCATCCTCCCTGCAGACAAATCACGCGGTGTTTACCAATGATAGGGGTCTTTGACAGTATGCATAATAAACAAACAAGCTACAACGACTTCACAGCATCAAGACGAACAGGCGCCACATTTACCATCATCCTACGCATACTATCCGACCGACAAGTCGGGAGCGGTCCGGTTTGCCACAAGAGACTGCAAGCAAGGATACAGCAATCCACGATGTAGACCATGTTGACACGGACGCTCTCCTGCGAAGCGTGTCTCCGTAAAACATTCCGTTGAAGCTATTGACAATGCAAACACGTAAGAAGACATTGGCCTTCCTTCCGCTGTCCTGCCGAGAAAGACGGAATGCTATATCGACCAGCCTGTGACCGCGGTAGATGCTCACGACAAAAAGAAAAGGTAGGTCACTTCACATTTTGGACCGTTTGCAAACGGTTTGACTGGGATCTCTGGCCCGACAGACGCGTAACCAGAAGGAAATAATACGTTGTTGTTACCTATTCGATCGAAGAAGGGATCCTTCAAACCAAGCTCCCAAACAGCCGACTTCCCTCCTCCGGCCCACTCTCGTCGAGTGTAGCTTTTGTGGCGGTAGTCAGGCTGCCGGCTACACCCGTACCCTTGTGGCCGCGCGTTTCGGCTATTCGACCCGAAACTCCCGCCAACAAACCGCTGTCCTTTCTAGTTCTAGATTCCTTTAGTCTATATAATCCCAACAATATCCCCCGAAGTTCCCTACTCGTTGTCCTATGTCACTGCAACACTCGTAGCTAGCCAGCTAGCGGTGCTTGAAGCCGCCAAACCGCGGTTGCATCGAGATGGAAACATTTATTTCCAGAGATAAGCACATGCTATGTATGCCGATGATGGGAGTAGGCGAGTCTACACGTTGCTGTGTGGGGTGAAAAGGCCAGGCCGTGGCTGTACTGGTACCCTATTCTGGTCGCATAAACAGAGGGGTGGGCCCTACTTTGGCCGCTACCTTCATCTCAAACTACACGCGTTCCACAAAACCCACACGCACTACTACCATTTGGCAACAGCTACACAAACCCGCAGGCTGGAAGGCGCATAGGGTAGTTCACGCAGGCGCGCCCCCGCCCTCAAACCAGCGCGCTCGAACAATGGGAGTCCTTGCAAACGTACCCCACGATGTCGATGACGGCCACCACACGAAAAAAACGCCCCCAGACCGTGAACATTGTCCCCTAAAACATGCACCATGCAGGTGGCATCCCTATAACAAGCAAATGGAAACTAAACATTTCCGGACGGGTCAAGGAGTAATACCCGCTACTCTCGCTCTCTTTTGACATCTATACATCACCGAGACGGTAAAATCCCGAGGTGTATACTTCATAGCTGACGACGCGCACATACACAGAGCAAGTATTGGCATTTTTTTTTCTGGAAAATGCCACGAAGGCCACATCTTTTGCATGCTGCATGGGGTTCACGGCAAGAATAGGGGGGGGGGGGTAGCACCTGGGGCACATTTGTTTGCTCGCCCTTGTGCATTTACCATAGACACTTCAACACAGACCGCGGGTCGATGCCCCAAGCCCGTAGCTTAGAACCGTGCGGTGTTCGCTGTTCCGGCAAGAGCCGTCACCTCGCGTGTTCAAGCACCCAAGAACCCATTTCGTCCAGACGCACCTTTTGTACGCCCTACATGCACGACCTAGAGCAGAAACTGCAAGCGAGATCGCACGCCCCAGGGGGGAGAAGACGGGCGCTCACACACGTTCGTAATGGCACCAGATTAAATCCTGTCGACCAAAGAATTCTTCACAAGAGAAACGGACGGATTCCCTGCCGATGCACATGTAGTACTCCCGCACAGCACAGATGGAGCGCCCAGTCTGAAGTCCCCGCCCGGGCCCCCCCCCCCCTTCTCCTATCGCCCTCCATCGCATGAGGTACCTCCCTGATAGGCACCGCACCGTGATATCGATTGCTCAATGACTACCTTGAACCTGTTTTTCGGCACACCGAAAGCATCGGACATTGCCGCCCGTTCCCCGTCCACCCGATCACCCCGGCGGAAGCAGCCCTCACTGACGCCAGAAAACCCCAATTTTTGGAAACGACCCCCATCATCGTCCCAACAATACCGCGACGAGCCACCTTCCCAAAGCGTACCAGATCCCGCCATTTCCCGCCGAGGGCCAGGGAGAGAAAGGGCCTCTACCTCCGGCTATGGGTGGTGTGATCGCTGCGCGCGAAAATTAAAAGAGGGGGGGCGAACACTACGTCACACAATGTCACACAACAGGAGCAACTTGAGTGGTTCAGTCGGCAAAAAACTAGCAATTTTTTCTGGCTCTAGCTGGTGGATTCGATCCCTCCGGGTTGAAAAAGATCTCATGATTGCGGTTGCGAGTGCCAGCAATTAAGATGTGAGGGGATTGCAGAAACCTTCTTTCGCGATACCAACTGAAGGCAAGCGCCGTACGAGGAAATGGCAACTGCGGCTGATGCGTCAACCGCGCGCCGAAACGAGTAGAGTGGAGCTCAGAACAAGTCGGACGAAAACGTAAAAGCACACACACGGTGTGTGTGCGTGACTGTTATATGTCTTTGCTCCGCGGCTATCGCCAGCAGCGTGCTCAAGAAAGCGAGACCAGCACGATAAGACGCTCTACCAGGTCGTCATCACGCAGATACGCTTAGGGGAATGGAAATTAACGTCGTCGGCGCCGTCGACGATGGGAAACGAAGAGGACCAATTTCCGCGCCGGTAGTCTCGTCCTCAAAATGCGCGGCAGCACTTTCAGCACAATAACTACGGCAGCACTTTGGCGCAGCAACCCAGCCTGCTCGATGATAATCTTGCCACCTGCCCGGAGGTCATCGTGGCCCGATGTTCGTAAACGATGATCAAGTACACGGCAGGTTCAAGGACCCCCGCTGCCTCCGCAAAATAACGTTCCGGGATCAGGATTTCCACTCGCGGTTAACAGTCCGCAACGGACAATGGTATTTCCCACTTCACACACGCCTTGGGTGTCTAAACAACTACCACTGCACCCGCACGGAGAAAGACACCACCCGCGACGTCGAAAGCGTCTCTAGTAGGAGCGGAAACCGTGCTCCATCGCGAAATCCATCTGGGGTCACACGGTGGTGCGAAGCCGAGGGACAAAGCACAAAGGCAAGCAACGCAAGCGCCCCTCCCCCCCCCACAATCCTCACCTGCCCTCTCTTCTCGGCCCGCTCTCGGTGTCCCGGACCCTTCCCCCGTCCACCCCTTCCTCGTCTTGCAGCCATTCCCTCTATGCCACCGCCCCCTTTGTTCTTGGAAGGCCTCAACAGGTCCACCGCTTTGTCGGGGTTCAGTTCCCGCCCCATGCAACTCTCTGTTTCGTCCACCCATTGCTGTCATGGCACGTTTCCGACAAAATCGCGTGGCGACGCAGGGTGCGCGGGCGCGGGGGGGGGGGG